TCATCATCATCATCATCATCATCATCATCATCATCATCATCATCATCGTCAGCATCATCATCATCAACATCATCATCATCATCATCATCATCATCATCATCATCATCATCATCATCATCATCATCATCATCATCATCATCCTGCTCCTCCTCCTCCTCCTCCTTCTCCTCCTCCTCCTCCTCCTCCTCCCTCTCTTCATCCTTCACCTCGTGCCGCTGCTCCTCCTCCTCCTCCATCTCCTCCTCCTCCTCCTCCTCCTCCTCCTCCTCCTGCTTTCCCTCCTCCTCCTCCTCCTCGTCATCCTCCTTCTCCTCATCCTCTTCCTCGCTGTGTGAACCCCGATGGCAGAATGCGTGACCCCCGCTCTCCCTCGGCAGAGCCTCCTGGCTGCCGCGCAGCAACCGCACCTTGTTTGATGGGCCCATTTTCCACCACCACTACAAGACGTAGGAGAAGGGAGGAGGAGGATGAGGAGAATGAGGAGGAGGAGGAGCAGGAGGAGGACTCCTCATCTTCCCTGTTCCCCCGTCCTACATATGGTAGTGGTGGTGGAGATGTTGCCCATCATTATTGCCCCCCCCCGGTGACAGACCGCGCGACCCGCTCACTCTCGACAGGCCGCGGCTGAGACACGAGGTCTTCGTCAGCCTGGCAGTCGCTCGCAGTCCGCACTGCGCATGTTACACGCACGACGCCAGAGTTGAGGAATTCATGCGCACGCTGTCCAGGTAGCGTCGGGTGAGTGGGCCCTCTCGCTCCAAGGGCGTTCCCGGGCCTTCCTGGGCCCTCCCAAGGGCTAAAACAAGCCATCCCAGGGGCTAGAACAATCCACTCCCCAGGACCTAAAACAAACCTTCCGACTGGTTTAAACAAACCCTCCAAGGGGCTACCACCCCACCCTCAGAAGCTAAAAAACTCATTCACCCAGTGTATCAAACGAAACCTGTCAAGGGCTAAAACGGAGTCGCAAGGGCTGAAAAACACCCTCCCAGGAGCCAAAATAAACCGTCCGGGAGGCTGAAGCAAGCTTCCCAGGAGGGTAACCACAACCCCTCCCAGAGGCAACAAGAAATGGTGCCCGAGGTTTGAACGAAACCTCCCAAGGGCAAAAGTCATCCATCCCAGGGTCTCACAAAAAAAGGGTCCTGCCAGGGCGTTTCTGCCCCCGCCCCCCCATCCAGGGAGGAGGAGGAGAAGAGGAGAAGAGGAGAAGAGGAGAAGAGGAGAAGAGGAGGAGCAGGAGGAGGAGGAGGAGGAGGAGGAGGAGGAGGAGCTGGAGGGCGTTTCTCCCCCCCCCCCACCCCACCCCATCCAGGGAGGTCCCATGGCCCTCCCGGGGCCCCCCCACAGCCCTCCCAGGGCCCCGTCCACGGCCCTCCCAGAGGGCCTCGGGTGTCCCCGGGGCTCCCGCAGAGCGGCCCCCAGGGTGCTCCCAGGGCCTTCGCAGGGCCCTCCCAAAATGCTACCAGGGCCCTCCCAGGGTCATCCCAGGGCGCTCCTAGTGCGCTCCTGGGGCCCTCCCGGGAGCTATCCCAGGGGCTAAAAAAACATCTCCCAGGGGCTAAAACAAAGAAGCCCTCCGAGGGGCTAGCGCAAATCCTCCCTGGAGCCATAACAACCCCCAGGGGGTAAGACAAACCCTTCCTGGGGCTAGCATTCCCGTGTCTGGGTGGGATAGGGAGGGCTCTTGGCTGGCACTGCGAACGCCCTGGCGACAGCCCTGGCAGCTCTCTGGGAGAGCGCCATGGCGAGGCCATGAGAGCGCCCTGTGAACGCCCTAGGAAGGGGTGCTGGGCCTGCTGCGAGGGCCCTGGGTGCGCCTTTGGAAAGCCCTGGGAAAGCCCTGGGAGGATCCTGAGAACCCCTGGGGAGCTCCGGCCGCGCCCTGGTCGGGCCCTGAAGGTTTGTCTTGGTCCTTGAAAGGGTTTATGCTCGTCCTTTCGAGGATTCAGTTTAGCTCCGGTGGGAATGTGATTTTGCCCCTGGGATGGTTCGCTTTCGCCCCCTCGAGTGGTTTATGTTAGTCCCTGTGAGGGCTGGCTCTAGGGGCTGGAAGGCGATTGTTGTAACCCGTGGGGGGGGGGGTCGTTCTAGGCCTGGTGAGAATGTTGCTTGAGCCCCCCGATTGGTTTGTGCTCGCCCTTGGAAGGGTTCGTTTTGGACCTAGGGGCAAAGGGGGGTTCTGGGAGGTTTTGGCCCCAGAGGCGGGCCCTGATCGCGCCCCACTTGGAGCGCCTCGTCGGGCATGTCCTCCTACTGGCGGACTTTGACGAAGAATGGAAGATACCCCAAACATATTCCCAAATGGTCAAACGCAACCAAAAACCGTCCCCAGACTATGCTTTAAACTATGTTTGAACATTTCCCCTGTAGAGAGACAAGCCCGACGTGAATCCAGGATGCGCTCTCTGAATGGTTGATTGCCATTTGTCGTTACGTTCGTGCTGGATTCTACGTTTCTCGTAACGGTGCCGCGCGCGCTGCGCGCGCGTCCCGCGCTGCGCGTGCCGTTCGGCGCGTGGGCGCCGCTGAGGAGGAAGAGGAAGGGGAAACAATGAGAAGGAAGACGCGGGGCGTTGCGGCTTCAAGACGAGGACACAACACCACGGGACAGCTGGGAACGAACACAAGGCGAAACAGCATCATCATATTCTTCATGAGCACCTGGAGCTAACGAGCGCAGTATAAGATTTCACGACCTGCAAACGTAATGCAACCGGGAGACATTACACGGGAAGACATTCAACAACATATGTGCTGTCATGCCCTGCCATGTTCAGCCCCCCCTTTTCGAAACAGAGATCACTGGCTTTAAGTCGGGTACGTCCCCCTACAGGGGGATTGTCGACGAAAAGAACGATACCCCAAACATAATAATAAAACTATTCCAAAAATAGTCTGGGGGCTAGTTTTGCGTATGCTCTGACCTCGTTGGGGTATTCTTTGCGGGTATTTTTTCATTTGTCGTCGAACATCCCCCTGCAGGGGGACACGCCCGACGTAACACCGACTTCGAAATCGCCGCGCCCCGCCAAGCGGAAAACACAGAGGGCGCGGCCCCGGGCGCCGCTGGCCTCGGGGCCCCGCTCTTGTGCTCCATTGGCACGGCTGCGGGTCGCGAACCTCACGCACGCTTCTGCTCGCACGGCAGATTTCGGGGGCGGACAGACCTCCCTTTCGTAAAACGTCGTTTAGTGACAACGACCTGAGGCCCAATCTTGGCGGGCGCAGGCCTGGAAAACAGCGGCCGCGGCGCCCTCTCGAGAGCCGAGAACGGACAACTCACTGATCGACGTGTCAGGGCAGGAGGTCTGTCCACCCCCGAATATTCCCCCCTGCCCCATCCCCTCCCTCGGCCGCGCCAAGCAGAAAACGTAGAACAAGAAACAACTGCACACACACACACACACACACACACATCAACTCTGGGCACGTTTGCTCGCCCGGCATATTTTCCCTCCCCCTCCCCCCCCCTCCGCCGCGCGGAGCCGAAGACGAAAAAAGAGGCACACTGCACAGACACTAACTTTTGGCGATCCGCGCGGGCTTCTAGGATCCGCGCGGAAGGCCAAACGTTTATGCTTATTCTTCTTAGAGAAAAAAAAACGTGCAGGTCCATCCCAGCTTGCGTGAGGTCCAGATCTCCTTCCGGGCCTCGCCACGCGCCCCCCCCCCCCGCCACTGCACGAAAGCATGCCGGGGTCTGAAGATACGAGCGGCCCAATCCCAGACATGCGGCGTCCTGCTTGTTCCAGCGCGGCGTCCCCGGAAATCCCGACCCTTTCCCCGGGACCCGTTTGTGCTCCTGAGTCGTTGTTTCACTGTCCCGGGGCCCGGCGAGGGCCTCTATAGAGGCCGAAGACGGCGAGAAGCCTCCGCCCTGAATTTTTCACGACGCAATCATGTCCGGGATGGCAAGGCTGCCTTGGCGCCCCGCACGGTCCAGGCTTCCCGCCGGGTCCAGGGGCACCCACTCGGACCACACGGGCAGGTAGCCGAAGCAGATGTGCCTCTTTCGCCTGCCGCCGGGTCCACGGCTCCCGCCTCGCCAGGGCGCGCAGGGGGGGGGGGGGGAGGAAGGACGGAGGAGGAGGGAGGACGAGGGACGGAGGAGGAGGAGGAGGAGGAGGAGGGACGGAGGAAGCAGGAGGAGGAGGAGGAGGAGGAGGGGGAGGAGGAAGGACGGAGAAGGAGGGAGGAGGAAGGGAGGGAGGGCGGGAGGGAGGAGGCGGGAGGGAGGGCAGGAGGAGGCAGGCCGGAGCGGATCGGGTCGGCCGCCGACGAAGGCAAGGCGCACGACCTCGGCAGCCGGGGGGGTGCGGTGCACCGCCAGAAGATGTCCCCCTCCACCGCTCCGGAGTCGCGCCCCGAGTCCCCGGGACACGGCCCAGCGGCAATGGGCCGGTCATTTACTCGGGCGGCGCACGCGTGGCCGGAGGTGGCCCCACAGCCCGGAGGAGGCGGGAGGAGGGAGGAGGGAAGAGGGAGGCAGAAGGGACGAGG